CACACACACACTCATCTTTATCTGTTCTTGGTTATGCATCCATTGCTAAAAGTAGAAGCAACAATTTAACATTCAACATTGCATGTCCATGTAACTAGATGCACATGTGTTACCACAAGGTCACCTGTCTGTCACAGCACACAAAAGTGCACCCTGCACCACCACACAATACCACAGCTAACACCTGGTGCCACTGGTGCTTGTTTCCTCAGAGTGCCAGCAGCTATTTTAGCACTGATCTGCTATAAGATATCAATACTTCTCCTGCATTTAGGCCTCGTTCATGATTGAAATGTGTTCCGGTTTGGCCACGATCCGAATCGAAGCGGAATATATTTTTGCGTCCGTGATTCAAAACTTGAACCCACACTGGAAACGGTTTCACACCTCGAATTGACTTGCATTTCATATGTATATCACAATTTCTTTGAATATTTCCTGAGAACCCGGCTCGTAAGGCGGAGAGTTTACGCCTGTCCGGGCGAGTGGTCGCTCGTTCCCGACTCATGTCCTCCCCATGGCATAGCCATAGGCTGTGCCCCGGACGCATCTAGCGCAAACCCCCACGGTCCGCCGCCCCAACGCCCCCGTTGGGCTACCACTCGCCCTTGCGCCCAGGGTAGGTTCTAGTACACACCATCCAGTTTCCTCTGGATCTCCTGATTTACCCAAGTCAATATCGGAACTCGACCAGTAATTAGAACTCGATGTCAAGTGTACGATTCAAGTAGAATTTTCGGCAGTACAAGCCACTGCGCCGCAAACTATGGCCGACCGTGGCCCCCACGTACCCGGGAGTACAGCGTCGAACCGGTACGATTCGCATCCGCGCGTTCATGATTACAATTCTACGAATGCGAATCGTATCGTATCGTTTCAGACCACCTCGCGAGGTGGTTCAGAATAAATCGCAACGGAACCGGTTTGGAGCGTTCATGTTCCTAAATGAATCGATTTATTTTTTAAATCGAATTGATTCGCAACAGATATCCAATCATGAACGGGGCCTAAGGCACTCTTTCAACCATGAACAATACATAAATTGACCTAATCAATAATGTATTACATACATATGAATGGCAGGTTTGGTCCTATGGAGCACCTTCCCAACACCCTTGTATCAACACATGCATTCATCACATTCATGGAGATAATTAGACCTACTGTAGGTAGACTTCATTTTTCACAAAGACAGCAGTATGTCTGTTTTGAATAAACTGTAGGAAGCCACTCAAAACATCACAAATCATCCTATCAGTATCACCCTGCACCTTTTATCACAAAATTCAAACCAACCATTGAAGGACAGCATACCATTTAATCCTCCAAGCTGATACAAGCATACTTTCTGTAATCAGTTTCTTCTTTTTTTTTAACAACTAACAATTCTGTGTTATCAACTTGGTAACATATAGCACAAGCAACATAACATCAGACTTCAAATACCATACAAAACATACTGTCTTTTTTGGTTTAATAAAATTTCCATGTCTGACCAAACATTTACTTTTGTGTAAAGAATCCTCCCATTTTGGTATAAAAAGAGACTTCCTAATGAACGATACTGTCCAGTAAAAAAAATTACATGTAGACATATTTTGTATTTGATAATGCTCTCAAGAATGATGGCACATGAATGGGGTTCATTTAAAGGTGTGTTGCTTGAATCAAGCAAAAAAGATCTCCACAAATAAAGGCTTTATTGGATGGGAATTGGGGATAACAGCTTATTGTTATTATCTATGACAATATGGCCAGCTGAACAATATGAGAAGCATAATAGGTTCCAATGAAGGGTCATTTTTCCTTAGATAGTAGAACTGTGTGGTTTTAGCACAAGCAGACTGCCATCTTACCTAAGACAAACACACCAACACACACAAACCCCTTCTCACAGTCTGTTCAACACAAAAGACACTCCATGAACCTGTAACGGCCAAACCTTATGTTAATTTGTTGATTTGACTCCTCAAACTGGTCATAAATGGCATAATAACCACCCCTTACTCCACCCATACCCATTATTACAAAACCTGTCTGGCAACACCCATTCTCCTCAACAGTCATAACTGTAGACTTGTAAACAATACTATAAATAGATTGGTCTCAATGGTTTCTCAACATCTGTGCTCTCTCAGCTTGGGTTGTTCTAGAAATGCAAAGCAACATTTGGTCCATGGGAGAACTATTCATGGGTAGCAAAATACTCTGCTAGTGACATGATGTCTTGACTCCATGTGCACGACTCCAGAAATTATTTTTGTTGACGTCTGTGGGGAAGAATGAGTCACAACACATGGAAGCAGACTCAGAGTCAGAGCAAAGCAAGTGTATATCCTCTGTTTTCGTTCCCGGGTTATTTACTCAAGAGGAAACCTTGAGAGGACTTCCAAGAATGTCTTCCCATTCCAGCTTCACGCGCCTAGTGGATAGCGAAGTCGCTTGTGTTCCTTTAATATTTTGTAAATATGTCAAACAATGGGTAGCCAAGACTGTCCACTTGGTAACGAAAGAAAGTAACGAACACCAACCGAAACTTGTCTGTTACAAAAAATGCCCAAACGGGGAATGGACACCTTGAAAGGCACTAATCTAGGAAAAAAACTTAAACCTAGTATTTCAACTACCGTTAGGACCTTAACAAAGAACTCTGCCCGACGTAATTTTCTTTTCTACGGCCGGCCGGCCTGTTACGTCCGTCAGCTGTTTTGTTCCGCCATGTTGATGATGCAATGCGGAGGGGAATTTTTCCCTTCCGCCATTTTTCGAGCTTCAACTTTCTCAAACTCTCTAATTCCACTAAGTTTTAAGTAGTACTACGGACAAAGTCTATATTCCTTCTCTTACCTTAAAGTATCCTCCCTCGTAGAGTGTGTCAGGCGGCCCGAAAATCGCAACTTGCCATTCATACAGATTTTCGTCATTGACGAGGTTCACCCTAAAACCCTCCACTGGTTCTTCCTGCAAATTTTTCAGCTCTAACGCTAGCGCTCGCAACGATCCACTCATAGGAGGGCTCGCCATCATCTAAAACTATACAACAAACGCAGGAGGCAACTTTCTGTCCGATTCTCGTGAATGAAACCGTCACTATGAGTCAGAAATCTTGGCAATCTTTTGTTATGTTTCCTGTCTCCTGTCCAAGATGGCGGTCACTAGTGACATCATAATCAACATTCATGACGTATTTTCCGGCAAAACAGGAGGTGCTGCAGACGATACCATTAGCGCAGGCGTGGGGAGTTGAATTAAACAGACAACGCAAAATAGGTTGGACATAAAAAATTGTTTTCTTGTGTGTCATCCAAGAATTCACTGTGAATTGGTTTGCTATTGAAGAAAATTGAAGCATACACGTTTGAAGTAATAATGTCATCGATAAACATTACCGATTACGGATGAATTCTTCCACATATTACGCTAGTGAAGTTAGGCTTCGAATGACGTGGAATCAAGTTTTGCCTTATAGGGTAAAGTCGTTTTTTCTAGAGAAAGAAAAGCGTCGTTTGCCCGAAATTTAAGTCCTGGTTGTTTGTTTTTTCAACTTTCTTTTTTATTTTTAGTGTGCGCGGTGCCGTCGCCCTAGTTAACTTTACTGACTGTTGCCAATGTCCATTGTGAAAACAGGTGTGAAAGTCAGTCCTAAGTCATAAGACCTAGAAAGATCTTGAAAGAAACTGAAACTGAAATGAGTTGTTTGAATTCACCCTTTGAATTCAGTTGACAATTTTGACTTGACATCGAACTACTAGTGGTTTGTCGTGATTTTGCACTGCGGTGGGCAAAAAAAATAGGGGCCGCTGCGCATACACGCAGCAAGATCTTATACATTTGTACAACTAAGTGAAAATTGTAATACACTTATATTTCGAGCTTGGAGATAGATTGTGCCCTCGCGACCTCTGTTTGTGCAAAACACGTGCTGGCCATTAGGTGGCGCCCCGCGTCTGTCTACTCCCATGACAAACGGGCAGTTGATTCTGGGACCCAGCTGGGCCATAGCTAACATTAATGGTCATAAGGTCCGCGGATTAGGCCAGGGTGTTGTTGTCAGGAGTTAAACCTTCCATAGCAGGCTATTAACTCTTTTAGCGAAAAGGAACCGACAAAAAGAGACTAATAACGTCTAGGACTCAAATTGACAAATTGCTTTGGTAGATAAAGAAAGACTCGTGGCATTGAGCTTACACAAGGATTGAAAATCAGGAGGTTAAATTAAGACATGCTATCATTCAAGCGAGCTTAATGTAAAGTTCATACGTAAATCATTATTGATTTTTTAAATGGGGTTTGTTCAGCGCAGATTATCTACTCGATATGACGTATACCGTTCCCATACAATAACTGTGGTACGTGTCCGTCTCTGGAGTCTTGCATTACAAGTACTTCAATGTTGTCTTTGATGAATGGCACTTACAGGGCTGTCTGTGAGACTTCCCTATCAACTGCAACATATGTTTCAGAATCTATGGAAGAGAATACTGCCACAGGCCTGCATGTCTTCTATCTAGTAAATCACGCCCCTAGCGGCCGTCCGGCCGATCCGCAGTCTGTGTGTGTCTGGGAAAGGGTCCGTAACGGCTACCATACTAGCAGGAATTAACAGAAATTGGTCAAGTGGACTGAATAATTTGCCATTTCTAGCAAGGAGTTACACGTTGGCAACCCAGCACCATCCATAGGAGTCTGGTAGAAACTACGTTACGAACCTCGACAACGAGGTTATTTCACAAATACAAATGTACTAGATTATATGAGTTGTAAACCTGCTTTTCAGCACTAGGGACAGTGCATATGGAGGCCGGGCGTCTTGTGCTTGTAACGGCCAAGCTTAGTGCAAAAAAAAATATTCAAATGGTACTACACGTGTATTTTGTTTTTGACGACGTAACAATGTTATTCTGTATCAGTGCTGGTCATATCTATAGCGTGTCTTACCCTACGTTAAAATCAATGGAACATTCCAATGACCTCAATTTACAAACCGTGAATTAACACTAACGTTATACCCACCATGGATATTACGCTGTATTTCATGAATTATTTCTTCTACTCATGACGATAATATGAGTATAATGATATGAGGTCGCAATCAGAAGTAGGAAGCATATTTTGTGCCATGATTTTGTTTTTGTTTTGTTTTTTCTCAACGCCATTGATTACGTTAAATTATTTGTTGTACATAAATACCGTTAGATGAAATATCCTTCATCTCCTCCCAGTTGAAGGGTGTTCCTGAGGTGAATAAGGAATTTTATCTCATCATGAGCGTCTAGAAATTGGTACAGTTACGAGGCAAACATTCGCGTACAGATCAATAACGAACCAACAGCATTTTCATAAGGGAACCCACTCAGGTTAAACCACTCAGAAGGTAGGGGACGCAAAACAGTTGTAACAGCATTATGTCTGTTTTGTTTGTTTGTTTTAATATTTCCTACACCTCTTCTCAAGCAGTCAATTATTATCAATCGTTTTCATTTTCAGATAATTCTTAGGTAAGGAAGCCGGCCTTCCTTTCGGTTTCCGTCATTGTTTGCTCCACCCCTCTTTACAGCCCTTGTTAGATTAACCTAATCCGGGACATGGCAACATTTAGCTCTTATGGGAAAGTCCTCTGCCGACGAGACACATGCACACAGTCGCAAATAATTCACGGGAGATTCGATCTAGGACCGCGGCGCCTATAACACAATAACGTTACTATAACGTCTCGGGTAGGCTTTTACATGGCTCCATTTTCTGATGATTGACTTCGGCGGACGATGGACGCGGATTGGAGCACCCAGCTGATACAAACGATATCCCTCTCCAGTCTGAATCTTCTGGGCTGACACGGATACAGATAGACAGTTGCACGCCGAGCGACGGTGGAGTGCTACTCGGCTCCTGATAGCGCATCTACAATTCCATTACTGCCGCTACTCTATGCTGCGTGAGGATCGCACGGCTCGTGTAGCAGGCTCGTATATGCTCCATAGGAGAGGGCTTCAAGTGGCTTTCGTTCACACCATTCCGGCTTGATGTATTGACTAACAGATTTATGTTCCAGAAGAAGAAAGCAATGCCAACGCTGTTATGAAGACCCCGCATTCAAACAAGGTCCTGGCCAACTTGTGTAATGGTGTAGTGGGTTTGCTCCTCGTAGAATAAAAGAGTTGCACATAGTCATAGACTGAAGGCAAACATGGAGGATTCTGCGGAAGATTCTAGCCCTGTTTTGGTGCATCGCAGACGACACCTGCGATTTCCTAACAGAAGAATCGACAAGACAGAAGACACCAAGGGACCCAGTCACAATGACAGGTGAGGACAACTGTTACCATAGTGATAATCTTAATGCTCAACGTGCGCGAACGCTCTGTCCGCAGACTACTTTGTCTTAATGGTATCCATACAATACTCAAGCGGCTTTTTTTAGAATTTCATCTATCATGTCTCTGTTGCAACAAGGTAATAGTTGTGGAAGAACAGGCAGCGCAAACATGTTTAGTCCCATTCTAGTATATGCTCTAAAAGCGAAGTGATAGTCAAGCAAAAATGTTCACATTATTTTTCGTACTTCCATGTTTTGTCCTTACTTGTTCTAATGTCATGGTTTGTTTGTTTGTTGTTTTGTTTCAGCTCAGTGCTGGACCACCCATGGTTCCGTAGTTTCGACCACCTGTGTCTACAGCTGAGACAGGTCTGTCTCATCTTCCTGACGGCGGTTTTACCGCTCAGTCTCAGCGTCATCTCGATGATCTGGTACAACGGCGGGGGCGGGGGTGCAGCGGGCACGGCCGAGTACAAACTCCCTCAGGCGGTCGCGTCTGAGGTAGACCCGGTGGAAGGCGAGCTGTACGCGACTGAGAACTATGCGGCCTTGCACCAACAGGCCGACGTCGTGTCACGGGAAAACTTGGATTCTCTTCTGGTTGTGGACAGAAGACACAATCTCTCTTATGAGGTGGGGTTTTTAAATTTATCTGCTTCTTGAGTAGTATTTACTCTTCGGGGAGCGACATGTAACGTAAGAGTATACAGGCATAGCTATCGGAAGCAAATAATGGGAAGTGGCTATAAAGCACAGTGGACCACATTGTACTCAAATGAGTAGCAGTTTGAGTGTAAAGGTCTGAGTTATCGCACGAGTCAACCAGCCCTAGCGTACAGTTATTGAATATAAGATAAACACGGCTATGTATACTTTATTACTTGGTAGCAAAGGTGGCAAAGGCTACAAAATACAATATCCGAACAGACTGCGTAGGAGTTAAGGGTGCTCGTAAATTGGCAACTCTCCCTTAAAAGCCGAGATGCACAAAGAGGTTAATAAAGATTTGCTTGACTATAAAATTCTCCATTGACGCACCGATAACCAGAGCTATTGACAGCGGTCGAATTGCTACAGCAAGCACTATTCATTCGCAATGACATTAAGCTGTAAGAGCACAAGTCAGATTTTTATGACGCAAATGACGTTAACAGTATTTTTTTACGCGCAGTTCGTACGTATCCCCGGGGTTCTGCCGTGACCGGAATAAATGGTTTCTATAAAAGAGTTATGTTCTGGAGAACTGAGGGACAAACGTGGGTGACCTGTACATATGCGATATGATAATAATCCCGGGAAGAACGTTAAGAACACAGCGGTAATGTGTCTGTAACATCCGTCATTGGGACGGTCTATTCATTGGGAGGTCAGGAGGGGGCAGCTCCAGCCAGCTGGGCTCTCCTCTGCCGTATTGTAAAGTCGGGAGATATTACCGTGATGCATGTTGGACCTACACCCGGAGTGAATACACTTCTGCTGCGGGATACTAGTATTACGGTATGAATAAAACATCTGGGTTTTCGAACGGTCCGCAAAGTGCGCATTTGCTTTGACGAGCATTAACGACGCCAAGAGTGATGAAATTTTCGGCGGCTATAAACGCGAAATGAAATGGCGACTCTTAAGTTATGCATGTCGATAGTAAGTTAATACACATGGCAGGATCCACTTGTACCCTGATATCATGATAGTAGAAAGTTCTATCAACATCTGATCAAGAGCCCCTAAGACACCCTCACCTTGGTGTCCTTCTCCTTTATTGCACTAAATTCATTTTAAATCATTCAGAGGTTTGAAATCACTGAGAGTAAAATTGGCTTTGCACAGACGCGGCCTTTCGGATTTACGTAGGTTTTGCCCTTGAAAAAGTTGTCGAATAAAGTTGGCGTCCGTTATTATCTCTCTAACTTTATACAAAATCAAATTACACCATCTTCTGACCTTTTGATAAAGGTGATCCTGCAAAGGAGGCAGTTGAAATCAGCGCTATAGAGTCTCTTCAGTTGTTTGAAATCCTTTACTTTTAGAAGCCGATGGTAAACCCTACCGCCGGAGAGATTCTCAGCTAGCTGAAAGTGATGTAACATGACGTACGGCGCACATATCACCAGATAAATAGGTCGGTACTATTTTCTGGACATCCCATTACAGTTTTATCCACAGGTACATAAATCAGCCCCGGGTTTCCCGTTAACCATCCTGACCATATGGTGACCGTACTGCTCTCAGCTGCAGGAAAGATTTTTGCTATTCATGGGAACCGCTTTACAGCTGCTGTCGTAAATGATTCCAATTATCTCAAGTAAATGAAGCTGAGAAAGTTAACCGTCCCCAGCCGAGTAATAAAACCGCACCTGTTTAATACTTGTTCAATGATGCATTTTGCGGATGAAAGGCTCACTTCTTTTCTTGCCTTCACAATGGTACCTTGGGCTTTTACCAGTTTCTCAATACCTTAATCAAACTCACACATATACGAGTAGACGGCGCATGCAGGCGACGGAGGAAAATACGCAACGTCAAGGCCAGGAGTCGGTTAAGCCTGTTTGGTGAACAGACCACGTACCATTACTGTGGCTATTAACGTCCGTAATTACCAAGTCCCTGAACGGTCGACTTCACAAACGTGCCTTTCGTACGAGGTGCGTTTATGTACGCCTTTTGGGTTAGATTTGTTATGTCTAGTTTCTTCCTCTTCCTCTCCAAACAAATAAGGTCAATGACCTGAACCAGACGTCTCTCACCATGGTAAATGGTGTTGGGTTACATAATGTTGCAAGTGAGAGGGCTGCATGGTCACCATATATATGAATGTGTTTGAGTAAGAATAAACAAAGCTTGTTAAGCTCGGCCATGTGAAGGTAAACATAATGCATTTGTTTTCCAAATGTTACATTATTCTTTTAGACAAACGTACCGTCTAGCTCCAAACAACGTGAAGGAAGTCGAAGTTTTAGCTGGCTATCCGCGACGTATCTTACGGTTTGTAGGTGAATCATAAGTCTCATAACCGTACGTCCATATAGATACAACTCCCCATAGCACCAAGATTATTCTTCGATAGACCATGTGGACACACTGGCTTGTGGACTTTTCGAAAGAAAAAGGAAGAAACTTGGAGATGACTGCGAGCATAACCTCTACCTGGAACTGAAGGTGATGTGTTTATTCCCACCATGTCGTGTTTACAGCAGACATCCCCGGTTCGTTTGCCAGTACGGTAGTTAAAACTCATCATCCTCAGCCCCATAGGTTATCTCCACAACACTGTCATTCCTCCATCTGCGCGCGGAGGATCTGCGAAATGTCAACGTTCCTCCTGAGATCCGGACGCCGGCGGAGATGGAGACCTTTGCCACCAGACGTCAGAGTTACCATCTGTCTGTGGATGATTTAAACCGTTGGGGACTTTTCGACCGTCTATTCAACTCATGTAAAACGCTCTGGTAAGCAGAGATTTGCAAGGCAGCTGACTACACTCATTACATTCACCTGGCAATGTGGTCCTACAGTAATGCAGTACATATCAACAACGACCGTTACATGGCCATTAAAGAATAACATTTGAGTCCGGCAAGCGCTCTCGTGGAAATGCATCTCCCGTGAGACAATAACATGGATATGGAATTGAAAGCTCCTCCATGCGACAGTACTGCGCTTTTTACTCGGAGATCAATCGTAATTACATCGACAGCTTACGGCAGTCAGTCAGCATCTTTGTATCACATCGCACACCAAACTGTTGCAGGAGGTAGTGGATACTTGAACTTTGTTCTAACATGAAGAATGCACGCACCGAATCTGGGTCTACTGTAGTTTTCCTCAAAATGATTATGTATGAGACGTTTTTACTTGATTTCATGTAAAAACCAATACTCGTCCGACTCGGAAATAACTTTATCGATAGAACAGCGTCAGCTGAAATACGACCAACAAGGCCGTCGCCGCTGATATCTCGTATTTCCCCGGGGCGTCGCAGTCTAATGGCCGAATCTGTTCACCTCGCCTCCGCCCCAGTAAATAAAGACGAGTTCAAGGAGAAGTCCAGACCTTTGGGGCTGCGCTGTATTGATGGCTCAAATAAAGAACAACCACCCATTTGGAAATGCCAACCTCGCCAGCATTCTAAAAGCAGGTTATAAATTTTGTCTAGCCTGTATATAAAGCGTAATGAACACAGATCGAGGGTTCCAGATGTACTCCCCTGGCGAGTAGATAGGAGAGAGTGAGTGCTGTACACAGGAGGGACCTTGTGGGACCTTGTGGCCCGAGTGGCGCCTGACATGACATCCCACATTCATCATAACTACATTTTCTCGACAAATATCGAACTGTCAGAGTGTTTGTGAAGTTGGTTTAGTGAGATCGGTTGGCGTCATTTGCACTTTTTCCGCTCTGAGCAACATTGCTATGACATCCTTTCGAAACACATAACGGTTACTGTTTTCTTGCCCCCTGTCTCTCGCCACCTTTCTTCTTAGCGTGCATGATTGGCCGTGAGCACAATGTACTGTATACATTGGATATCATAGTTACTGTACGTCCGAACTCCTACTCACTTTATCTCTTAGCTGTAGTAGTGGAAGATCATAAATCGTAGAACATCGAGCCCCTAGTCAGTTTCATTTCTGTACGGACGTCTTTTCAACACCTGTTCTGTAGCACAATGTACAGCCAAAAATTATTTTCCCAATATATATTCCCTATTCATTGGTGTTTTACCTACAAATTACGGGTATCAAGACCGAGGGGTGTATAATTGTGATGGCACTTGTTCTGAGGAAGGGCTGTAGGATAAGAGCGGCAATACCAACACATCGCTATTCCACGGAGTAGTCCTAAGAATGACCAAGAGGCGGCGAATCTCTCAAGTAGTTGTGAGAAATACCGCGGCTCTTGCGAAGATGTATCAGGCTTTTCCACTTGTACTGAAAAGCTTAGCTCTACTTTAGACGCTTCACAGAGACTATATATAAGAATGTACTTTCTTCTGGCAAGACGGAATAGGCCTAAAAGCACATGAATTACCTCTCTGCGTTGTGTTAGGACCCTTGAAGTAATCTTTGCATTCAGGCGAAGAAAGCAATCTATCTTCCGTCCGGCCCTGGTGCTGACGGGACAGCTAAGAGGATGAAGAGGAGATTGGGGTTTCAAGTCAAAGAAGGACATAAGATGCAGATAAGATAAGCAGCTGGGGATTAATCACCTCAATCTTTGCTAAGACCACAGAGGGAAGAGATGGGAAGCAGCACAGGTCAAAGGTACCCCAAGCTATCGGTGGATTTTCGAACGACGCTAACCTAAAACCAAGAGTATCTCCACTCAGGACGCACGGTTCCAAATGAAAAGGACTGAAGTATTGCATTTTGTTCTTCAAATTCAGTTACGCTGTCGTCCGTGACTTCGCTTTGTGGATGGGTGGGGTACAGAATTGATTAAGACGAAACTGTCTGCCATGAAGCAATCTACGCAAGATAACAATCTACCAACTGTGCGTCTTTACGGATTTCCTTTCTCTTCGCAAGTGTCCAAATGAAGTGCCTCTTTACGGTACCGTTAACGTTACTCGCGAATGCCTGCTTGGACAAACTTCTTCAATCGATACGCATTGAGCCGCCCGGAACGGGTCGTCA